ACTGTACATTGTACATAGTACAATAGCTCTAGGCGGATAATGCTCGGAAAATAATATTTGACAGATTCTGCTCCAAAGGCATTGCGATTGGCAGAACCATACACACCTTATGGCAGGCACTCCACTTCTTTATCTACAACTACATATACTTGTACATGAAGTTGATTGTTCCAACTTCTAAGTTCGTACTTGTACATGTAAATACCAAACATGCATGAAACATACCCGAAAAGGTACCCAATTCTTCCGGCATAGTCCACCATGAGCCAACGTAGATCTACAGTGTGCGAAACATGCATGGCACTTACTTACCCCAACCGGTACCAAAGTCTGCCGATGTCTCTGCCTGCATTTCCACACCAAGGCAGGGGGTTTAGTGAGGGTAGAAGCCATCCAATACACTAGCCACTAGGTGCAGCATGTACATGTGCGCTCATCTTGTCCCATGTTGTGGCAATGATCGTTTGCAGGTCTGCCGGAAATCCTGCCTTGCAATCATCAAAGACCAACAATGTGGCAACACGCTAACCATGTTCGCGCATGGTGTTCCTTGAACGGATGTACACGCGCGCAAGTCACAAGTGATCACATCAACAACAATGCGTAGCAGTGCAGTATCCTCAGTCAGGGCTCACCACGACTGCACAAAGGCGTGCCCAACGGTCGTTTGCGCCAATCAGCGCAGGGCAAAACTGCCTCTAGCTTTGTCGTTGTACCGAGCGGTTATAATTGCAGTTACTAAAATAATGGAAAGGAAGGTTTCAACTAATTACTTCAAGTCCGTTCATCACGTAGAGTGGGTTTCCAGTGGGCGCGTAGGTGTGCGTGAAGTAGTTGTGACTGGTGCTGATCCGACGGAGCTGCGTTGCACATCAGTCATGATATGCAGCATCAATACTCGGTGAACAAATAGACTGTATCAATGTCGACCTCAAAAATAAAATAGGTCCTAGGGGTGAATGGCCATGGAGAAAGCGGAACAACTGTATATTCTGAACTTCCTCAAGCCGATCCTCTTAGACAGATAACTTTCCCAGCCCATTAGAGAGAACGGAAGCTGTATCGCAGCTCAGAGTTTCACGTCAAGCCACCACCATCATGCAGTTGCCTGATGCATCAGGCAACTGACGGTCCAGCACAGGTATAGTCTGAACAAAGGAGGGGTGAGGCGAGAAGGAAGAAGATTATAATGTCAGGTCTATGATGCGAGCCGTGATAAATTCCACGGCCTATGGCCTATGGGGGACTGAGCAGTTTCAGCACAAAGGTGGTCTCAAATACAAGACGAACCCATCACTGTACTGACAGGCGTAACGCTAGGAGCTACGGAGCTCACAAACAAAAGAGGCTGGCAGCAAGAGAAGAAAGAAGGAAAGACAAGAATCTAGCAATGAGATCCTATCGCACTACATTATGCGATCGGAGTGCATTTTTAAAGCTGGAAAGACATTTTGATGTCTTAACATGCTGGGGAAGTTGCAGCCAAAGGCTGTAGTTCAAAAACAGAGGAGAGTTGGTAAATGCGGCTGAATTAGCACGGGGAAGTGAGAGACTATTACGAGTGGACCGGGACAGAGAAAACCAATTGAATACGGAGAGATGAATGGGAATTTTACCTAGGCGAATTCTGTGGATCAAAATGCAAAGCTGCTGTTTGCGATTATCTTGCAGTGGCTGAGTATTGCTGATACAATAGAGCTCAAGACTAGGAAATAAACGCTGCTTGTAAACAATATTTTAAGAAAAGATTTATGTTGGATTTCAAGTTTGTTCACAAGATGTTGACTTAGACTACACCAAGACTGACATGCATACTGGAAAATAGGTAATAACATTGCACGCCACTGACCGCCGGTACTGATGGCGTTCTAAAACTAACTGGCTAGCAGCTCATGTTATCGCATGAGCTGATTGTTTAGTAACTGGTGCCCTGGTGGTGTAAGTGTTTTTTTTTTTTTGTTTTTTGTTTTTTTTTACTGTTGAACACTCACTGCATGATGAACTAAAATGAGGAGAAGAGTGTACTTATTATTGTAGCGTAACTGTTACTTGTAGTGTGGTGTTGTAGTTCCTTGGTCCTTTTTCTTTTCTATACACTAAGTTCTACCTTTTTTGTCTTCTTCTCTTGTCTTTGTAAATAACTCTTCCTCTCCTCTCCTCCATGCGCTCTCACAGCCGACTCACTGCTACCCTCGGTAGCCATTACACACACCAACAGCCATAATTATATAATGGCATAGAGGCCTGATTGCCAAGTTGGGTGCCTATGGCATTGGTGGCAACCTGCTTTGATTCTTTGAAAGCTACCTAACTGACAGGTTACAGGCTGTACGCGTCGGCAACACCCTCTCGTCTCCCCAGGCAATTAATTCTGGTGTGCCACAGGGGTCAATCCTGGGGCCACTATTCTTTTAAGTCTACGTCAATGATCTACCGATGTCTGTCCCTAATGTTTCACTGTTCGCCGATGACACCACAGTTTCCGCTTCAAATAGTTGCAGGCAATTGCTAGTCAATGACCTCCAGAAAAAGATAAACTCCACCATTTCTTGGATGTCGACTTGGAAGCTGAGACCGAACACTAGTAAGACCAAAGTGATGTTCTTCTGTAGCGGTGTTAGTGATCAGTTCTGTAATGTGTCTTTATCATGTCCTGGCAGCTCATCGACCATAGAAATTGCCCATGAACATAAGCACCTTGGTATAATTATTGACGACTGTCTAACATGGGCTCCTCATGTAGACTATATTTGCAAGAAAACTAGTAGTGTTCTCGGCATACTATATCCTCATCGTTCTCATTTGCCAAATACATGCCGTTCTATGTTTTATCGCTCGTATCTATCGCATGTTAAATGTATCCTAATGATTCCTTGGCTCTCTATCCGAGTGTAGCACTAAGTTCAGGGGCCATTAGTTGAGTAAGTACAGTCAAACCTCTTTAGGACGAACACCAGGGGACCGATGGTATTTGTTCGTAATAACGGGAGTTCTTCTTATCCGTATTTTATACCCAGTGTATACACAGTGATTTATCCAATAGGGCTTGAAAGTGCTACGTCACAGCATAGCAACAATTTCAAAAATTCAAAAACTGGATCCACTTGGATCCAGTTTTTGTAAAGTGGATCCAGTTTTTGTATGGATCCAACTTCCAAGCACATTTCAAGCGGTCTTACCCACAGCATGGTGATGTAGCCAGTGAAACTGACTGATTTGGCTACTGGGGGCGGGGTTACAACTGGTGGCGAAATAAAAGTCACACCTGCATGCGACATGAGTGGGTTGCTATGCACCCACATACTTAGGCAATAGCAAAGTCACACCTTAGTGGATCCAAAAATTAGAAATCTGATGTCAACTTACTACTCCCTGGCCGTTTTGACGTCATCACTTTCAAGCCATAGAGCTATGAACATTAGTTCTTCTAAAGCGAAAGTTTGTCTTATCAGTGTTCTTATTAACGAGGTTTCACTGTAGGTACTTGTAAGTTGTAGTCTAGGACAATGCTGTCCTGACGACATCTGGACACGCGCTGTGTGACATCTCCATACGTTCTCGTTGATGGTGTAGGCCAGGCCAGGGTAGGCATTGGCGGATAATGCTCGAAAAGGTGGCGGATTCTGCTCGAAAGGCAGTGAAATATTTAATTGGCAGAACCATACAAACCTTATGGCGGGCAATTCCTCGAATTCTGCTCCATTTCTTTATCCACATACCAAACATGCATGAAACTTACCAGGAAAAGTACCGAATTCTGCCAATTTTTCTGCCGGCATTATCTGCATATGCCTAGCGTGGGGTTTAATCGGCTCAAACAATCTTCGGTTTCTCGATCAAACAGAGATTGCAGCGCTTTGAGATGTTGGAGTATGGTGCGGCTCTCTTCGTAACCGACCACGCAATGCTGTATGGCAGGCTACTGTTTTCATCCCTCATTCTCCAAAGATATTAATTCTGTAGAGTGTAGTGGTATCTTAGAACTAACTAACTTTCCATCAAGCACTGTAGTACATGTATTCGTGTGTCACCCACACAATTACATGTACTTTGCCAGTAAATCGTTCAAAAGACAAAAGCAGATCTGGTCGACATTGTAATCTACAAAGACCAGTCGTCTAGAACTACAAGACCACATGTCATGAGCTGATGATGAGGCAGAGCATGTGTGGGATTGTCGATTAGTACATCAGTCATTACGTATCTAATATTGACTGAGTACGAGGTCAGTATAGGAAATGAAAGCCGAGTAAAAGACTGAGGCGAACTGAGGTCTTTTACGAGGCCTTTTATTTCCTACATGTATACTGACCAAGTACGAAGTCAATATTAGATTTATCACGACTGACCAAAGCACGTGTTCAATCGCTAAAAAGGAGTCAAATATAAGCGGTCAATATAGCCCTAAGGAGTGAAATATGCAGGAATATTTGACTGCTTAGGTATGGCAAAAATCTAAGGCCAGTAAGGGAGTGATAAAATACAATCATAGAACTAGTATTATGTGGGTGTACAAGTACATGTATGACATTGTGGTCTTGTAGACCTGCAGCACACACTACCATGCAGCCTGGCCTGGCTACACCGCGAGATGGTAAGAACCGTGTGAACCAAGTCCATGCCATGCATGGTGAACAAAATCAGCTCAGGAACAGGTACGCTTGTTTCCATGGTTTCCTGTGAGCTCAGCACTCGACGCTGGCGCCATGGCCTAGCTCGGCCGCCTCGCGTTGCCGTAGATCTACCTGAACATCGTGCATCGTGAAGATTCGACGCTCCGACCGCTACGGCGAAACACCTACGCCGCCGCGTAGGCTACGCTTGGCCTCACTGCACTAATCTATGGCTACCACCACCAGGCCGCTAGACCGTCTAGCCGCGCGCTAGGCCACAGCCTACACGGCGACAGCCATAGGCATAGGCTCCGCTTGTAATCCTTTTTTTCAACGGACTTGGGCTGCATCACAATATCCCCGTTCACTCGAGGCTTCATTCTTTTACTCAGTTGTCGATCAGTACAGTTACCGGTTGCATGGTGGTGACGACAACCTTGGAAAAATGTCAGTTCATGTAATGCTGTCGACAGTGTCGTTTAGAAAAGAAAAGGGTACAGTGTTCCGGAGTACCTGAGCGAGCCCACTCCCATTGCCTCTCTACTCTAAACTACTCGGTTGCTGTGTCCGTGGCCGTTCGTTGGACAGCGAGCGTCCATTGTCTTGAGAAAGGTTTACAGCAGCAGTCGTACGTGTTGTGTGTAGCGTCGAATCCGCTCCGTTCGTTCTTCGGCACCAACCCAGTTTGTTAGGTGACGGGGCGAGAGTTGTCGCTGAAGCTGTGACTGTGAGCATTGGAGAGAGTTCTAAGATCGGCGGACTGAGAAACGAACGGGGCAAGAGGAGCCCGGGTGCGACTCCCACACGCCTAGTTAGCTATTCCCTGCGCCGAAGACCCGCAGAGTGCAAACCTCCAACATCAAGATGGTGAGTCAGTGATGCTAGTGCATTGAATGACGTTTGCTTTGAGTTTCCTCGAACTCTTTTTACAAATAACACTGCTTGTTGTTTTTTACGGTCGACGAATCAATGGGGACTCTCTCCGCCCCACCATCAAAGTCCCAGAGCGCCGTGGCACTGGTCAGATGTGACTGCAACCATTGGGCAAGTCTAAAAGTTTGACATAATAGCCTGTCCGCCATACATCGCCCATTTTTGTCCTGGCATGGTTCAGAAGTGTGTGGTGGCGGCGGGAGGGGGAGGAGCAGGCAAATTGTGAAAGAGAGACTCTCACTATCTTTGAGCTACCAGGGTATCCCTCAGCTGACGGCTCTCTCTCTCTCTCTCTCACTCACTCTCTCTCACTCACTCACTCTCTCTCACTCACTCACTCTCACTCACTCACTCACTCACTCACTCACTCACTCACTCACTCACTCACTCTCTCTCTCTCTCTCTCTCTCTCTCTCTCTCTCTCTCTCTCTCTCTCTCTCTCTCTCTCTCTCTCTCTCTCAAAAACAAGTGCTGCCAGTTTGTGGATAGGTGCAAGGCCATGCGACAATAGGTAAATACTACCTATTGTGCCGGTTGTGTCTCTCAACTGTGTAGCCAGTGGTAACACAACATGTGCAGACTTTTCCCCAGTGTGTGATGGGTGTGAACTGTGATGTACAGTCACATCACAAGTGATGTTATTTTTATCGTATCACTGCCTTCAAAGGATTATCATTGTCACATACTATGCTGTGTGATAAGGCTAAGAACAATGCCCTTGTTGATACCCTGTCTCTGTACGCCGTGCTACATTGACCGCGTGTTGATTCTCGAGTCGAGGTGTGACTCCGGCGGTGGCAAATCTGTGTGTGTTTTGGGGGGGGGGGGTCTGGATGTCTGAGTGTGAGAGATCTGTCACTAATGGCAGACTTGGCATCGTCAGTCATGAAACACATCATGTGAGAAGCCCACACTGGACATCCCAGCTGTTCCTGTTGATACCTTTGTACTGCATAAAGACAACGCACAGGATTCTCTCATATTTTTCCTTCCTATTGAAGTAGACGTCTTCTCGTCGACTCTTCAGTAGGAAAAAAAGTGCACTTTGTCTCAGCAAAGTAGATAGGCAGTAGCGCAGTAGTGAAGTTACAGAGCCAGCGAAGAACTCGTGTGCTGGCCACACAGTGACAGTTTGTGTAACAAGCAAGCACCACGTGGGTAGAACGTGAGTGAAAGCTCTGCAGGTGCCGGCTGAAAAGCCTTATGAAGATATGGCTGAGCGGGTGAGCGGCCGGAGGGAGCCCAGACCTAGCAGTGTCGCACGCTCTCGATCGCTGCAGGGCAAGCAGGAAAAGAGCTTGCTGCAGGAGTTGGTGGATTTGACTACACCGCGAGCAAAGCCAACACCAGTGCTGGGCCATTGGCTAGCACCGAGACGGTTCGATGAAGTAAATCTACCCGACACCAGACACTCTAGAAGGTCCGTGACGACATCACTAGTGAAGCCAGAGCCCTGTCATAACGACAGAAGAGGGCAGTGTATAGACAGTAGCGATGTCGTGCGTGATATGACGCGTCAGATGAAGACAACCTCCCTTGCTGACGTCCGAACAGCGAACGCGAGTAGACGTCAGATACCCAGGACTCCGCATGTGCCAACCCAAGTGCATGCGGTTGGAGAGGCAAGTGGCGCCGCTGTGCAAGACGCAAAGCATTCCACTGTGTTCTCCCAAGCCAGAGCAAAGCGTGCTGCACCACGGGAGGCTGTCACCGAGCACGGCCAACACGAACTGCCTGTGTCGTCGGAGCATAACAGGCTGACACAGCTGGATTCATCCAACAGTCCTGTACAGTCGGAGAGTTCCGTATCTCACAAGGCCGATAAGACAAACGACGGAGAGTGGAATAGACGGCGATCGGCACGCCATGATCACCCACGACAGGGTTGCAATGACGAGAACAGGAGGCCGAAGCAGCTCCCATCCGCAGGCAATAAGGCCGACCATGTTACTGGGGATATGAAAGATGACGCAGGAAAACCTAGTGAAATCCCTGGGTACGGATTGCCAGGGACGAGCAATGTCCCGAAGAACTCCCCGCAACTAGTTACAAACTCGCCAGCACAGAGATCAGCGGTGTCTTCTGCTGAAGACGGTTTGTCGCATCAGCGCAGCGAGCGAATACCAAAGCCGAACCAGCTGAAGCGGTTGAACTTGCCGCCCGAGTCAGCCCTACCAGGGAAGTTTGCTGGATCAGATTGCCATACAAGCCGCAATGAGATGCCCGTAGGCAGTACCAGCAAATCGGATTGCATGGACAGGCAGCGTGAGGTGTCACACTCTCCGCATCATGACACCCACACTGCATTGCCGGCTGTGCAGCCACACGAGGCGAAACGATCACCGCGCACCACGGGGTCTGGTGCAACGATGACCAGTCGGGCAGGTGGCAATTCTGGTACGAAGACGTCCGGTAACCCAGTACACGATGTGCTGTCTCAAGCTGCGGTTCAACTACTATGCAATAGTGCTGACGTGACAAGTAGCAAACAGCTATCAGCCACCGAACACGATCATACACTGGACGACAGCGGGGCTCAACCAACACCTTGTCAAGACGCACGAGAAATGAGTGTGCCTGCCACAAAGCGAACACCCGACAGAGGGCATCGATCTGCGGAAAGTAAGGCCGACGAGAGTCGACAAGCCAGACGTGCGAGCATTGCGAACACTTTACCAAGCATCATAGAATACTCGCCGTTCAACCGCGACAAATCCGGCATGATGAAGCGGAAATGCCACTCGGTGGACAGCTTTGTGCAGTCACAAACACCCAGTAAGACCGGAATCCTCTGCTCTGATGTGAAACTGCCGGAAGGCTCAGGTCGACGAACCAGCCCTGTTGACAATAGCTCTTGGTCTCAACGTGCACAGTCGAAGATATCCAGTGCGCATACCACGTCTCCAATGAAACCTAGTGACAAGGAGAATAGCAGTGTCCCTGCTCCTATTGCAGCCAAGTCACCAGTGGCGTGCCAGGAGAATGCCATTCCTGCAGTATTGAGCAGCTCGCATGTTGCTCAGAGCAGTGAAGTGGACGTTGGTGCAGATGGTGGTGGCGGTGAGAGCAGCCGAGATGTCTGTAGTGTGTCTATGGATAGCGCTGCACTGCATGATCAAGCCGACTTCTGTCATCGACGGGCTGCCATCCCTGCAGCATTGAGCGGCTCGCATGTTGCTCAGAGCAGTGAAGTTGGACTTGGTGCCGGTGGTGTTGGTGGGGACAGCAGCAGAGATGACTGTAGTGTGTCTAGGGATGACGCTGCACTGCATGATCAAGCCGACTCGCGTCGTCGACGGACAGCACGTCCCAAGGACTTATACAGCAAGAAGTCCGTGACATTCTGCGAAGACCTGGAAGCTGTGCGGACGGTACAGCCGTCCAAGCAAGCGCGTCGTCATTCCGAGCCGTGCACCTCAATGCCAATGGCGTCGAAGGTGGTGGGAAGCAGGCCACGGCTACCTCTCCTGCGCGTACCTATTACACCCGGCTCGGCCCAGTGGAGTCCGCGCACCGTCTTCCAAACCTCAATGACCCAGGAGCCGTCGCTTCTGGACTCGCTGCGAGAAGAGCTGGACATCCGCGTTGCAGAAATCCTCACCAAGCAAGCCACTCTGGATCAGAACGCTGAATCAACGAGTGGAAGACAGGGCAGTCTCCGTAGTAATTCCAGGCAGCCGAGCATAGTAGCAGCGGATCCCTCTCTCCCGCCCGTCAAGGGCCTCCGATCGGCAAACTCGATGAAGCTACGTCACTTCTACAGTGTAGATGATGAGGAAGAGTACACCAACACCAGCGCTGGGTCACACGCACGGCAGCAATGTGTGGCGCAGACTAAACGCCGCTCGCGTCCTGTTGCCATAGCTACGTTTGACCTGCGCGAGCCCAGGCTTCCGTCGGAGCCCACCACGCCGGGGACGCCGGCGGCGATGGAATCGAAGGTGGCCATCGACCGCATGCGCCGCCTGTTCGCCACGCTCCAGACATCGCTGAGCATGGACGGGGACGGGAGACAAGCGTCTGTTCTTAGTAGCATGGCTTCTGGAGATGCTGCTGCTGCGAGTGCTCGTTGTAATTCGCTGAGAAAACCCAGCCTGCACTCGACGCAAAGCAACGCCGAGACTTTTGGGTACGACATGATGCTGTCCGCCGCACAGTGTGCGATAGAGGTTCAGGGCAAAGACGTACTGATACCCGCAGCCGATACAGACAATGCAGCTGAACATGTTCAAGCCAACGCCATCACACCTCCATCCCCCAAAGTCAAGCTCTCGGCGTCGTCTCCGGAACAATCGAAGATGGCTATCACACCTCCGTCCCCCAAGGTCAAGGGCTCAGCGAGGTCTCCTGAACAGTCGAAGATGGATGTTGGAACGCTGTGGACGGAACAGGGACGTCGTCAGCTGCTGGCCAGACGACGCCATCCGGAGTTCAAGTCCGTCGACGAGGAGGTTATGTCCGGTGGCAGTGCGTTTCTCAGGCAGCGGAAACTAGCCACAACGCCGGGAACGCCGCTCGGCAAGTTCTTCCCCGATGACGACGATTCAGACAGCGGTCACTGCAGAAGCAATGGCCACACTAAGTGTGATGATGATGAGGTGGGTCGGCGGTCTCCACCTCTCACGGATGAAGAGTACACGGAAACCGTCGATCTGGAATCGCCGGGCAGCGAAGACGCGCTCGACTCTTCTCCAGAGTCACCAACACTGCACGGGCGACGGTGGGAGTCTCGCACACGGCAGCACTCGGCGCAAAGCAGCATACAGTGCGAGAGCTTGGATCGGAGTGGAGCTCGTCGAGATTCCTCAACGACCCGTCCGCCATCACTGGCTGCCTATCTGCCAGTTGAATCAGCTGATGTCCTAGCTTACATAAATCCTGCACCCGTACACCTCATGGCGGCGACCTCCACCACCGTCACTGCCGGCAACAGCACCTACTGCCAAGTTAGCACTAGCAGCCGCAGTCATCCTGATTTAAACAGCAGTGGACGGCTTGTGCACGACACACATGGCGCATCACACGCTAGCAGTATGACGTCGCTCTGTCGTGTCGGCCAAGTCCGGCAGCCGGACCAGCCAGACCAGCAGGTCATGTCGAGTCAAGAGCCGACGATCCAGACAACGTCACAACACCCCGGCAGGGCTGCTGCTGCATGTCACAGTGCCACTGCTACACAACCGCTGAGCTCACTGGATGCATCGACGTCACTGGCTCCAGGCAGCAGTGAAGCGGCATCTCCGCCAATGCGCCGACAGCCCTGTAAAGATCACACTGGTCGAGAGTCCACGGCCGGTCCAGAACCAATGAATACTGACCACCTTGTCGAGGTGCGATGTTTGCTGGAGCAGCTTCAGTCGCTCCTGCGGGCAATGCCCGAGTTAGAGAAGCATACAAGCCCCGGATCAGACGCTGACTCTTTTGTGCCGCCTTCTCCACAGCTACAGTGGTTTAGACATCTCATCACCGTAGCGACCGGGTTGCTGTCTCACCTGCCGACGCTCGTGGCCGTGGAGAACGTCTACCGTAACGACCCTGCACTGCTGCGCTACCGCAAGTGGCAGCAACGCGACGATAGCATGCCATCGGGAGACGACCCGCCCGACTCAATGGAGACCAACTGCGGTACAAAACGTTCGTGGTGCGCCAGCGAGTCATTCTCATCGCCACCTAGGGAACGTTCCACAACAAGTGGCTCATCGGAAGGGCAGAACGGATTCTTCGACTCTTTGTCTCTACTGGGCAGTGACTCTTCGGAACTGGCTGTTGTTACTAGAAACAAACCTATTGCAAACAGGACCACTGGGTGTTGTGGAAGTCCATCGAGCTCTTCACCATCGACGCCGGACGCAGATGAGCAGTGTAGGAGCGTTGCACAGAAGCAGCGCAGTCCGTCACCAAGAACCAGCCGCAAAGTCCGGCCGAAATCCCTGCCCGCGTTACCTGCGCTGATAGCAGCGACAAGTGCAGAGGGTCCGCAGTCCCAGCATCTCGACCCGGAGCTGAGCCGCACGTGTATCGTTGTTGTCACGCCACCACCCGTGGAAGAAGACGAGCGATCGCCAATCGAAATAACCCCGAACATGGTTGCTTCAAGCGTGCGGTCACTACCCGGCTCACACGCTCATGCCAATGATGCGGCTCACTGTATGCAAGGCGACAGGCAGCACACCCATAATGAATCGGGACATGATAGTCAGACTGCTGGTGCGTCGACGGATCTCAAGCAGTACTTACGGCCAGTCGCTGAAGAAAAACCGCTGGTTGCCATAGCAGCTGAGGATATGCGACGTCCAGAGGTTGTCGGCTCTGCGGCGCTGACTGCGAGTCCACCTGTGCGAACCTCACTCATACTGCGCGATGTTTTGGCCACGTTGGATCGAGCGTTGCCAGGGCAGCATGAGACCGCAGGCGATTCAGAGCAGACAGCAGACTCACCGCTAACTAGCGATGCCCGAGGGGGTCCACAGAGGAATGTACACAAGATGAGCAATTTGGCCGGAAAGGCACCGAAACAGTCGCAGGGGAAAGCCCCCTTCCCATCAACTACTCGCGAATCATGCGCACCAGGCAATGCTCAATCAGGAGGCCAACCACCTTGTGCTAATGCATGCAATTCAGCGCCAGTCATCAAACCTGCATGTGCTGAAGACACTATCGGTGGTGCACTGACACATCAGCAGCAGAGGGCTGCGAAACACAAGCACCTTCCACGCTGTGACCTCCGGCCACCGTCACCCGTTACAGCCCTCCTGTGTCCTCCAAACACGCCGGCGTCCGAGAGCGAGAGCAGCAAAGCAATCCAGATGCCCGTCCAGCAGCAACAGCTTGACAGCAGCAGCAACGTCGACAGCGGCAGCGATGACTACACAGTGGAGACATCAGACTTTCCACACTATCCACATTGGTTTGTTGTCAGAGTCCAGGAAATCCAGAGAAAGCCTTGTCGTGGACATCTTGAAGCCACACACTCTGAAGAACGACATCTACTCTCGGCACTCAACTCCAAGCATGATTGTGGCGCAATCAAGCATGAGGCAATAACAGTAGAGCAAAGAATCGGCCGGGCAGTGGGGCATGTGTGCAAGGAGACAAGCGTCCGGCCAAGCTTTTCCGACCCGCGCATAGTGAGGACCACACTGCGGCGGTGAGGAGATGGCTAGTGTGCTAAGCTACCCAGTGTGAACAAGACACGACCGTGTTGAACTGCCGTGGTGCTTTGCTAAACCACGGCGCAGCGTGCGCACGACACAGTGAAGACCACATTGCGACGGTGAAGACGTGGCTAATGTACTAAAGCTGCCCAGCGTGAATAAGATATGTACGTATTTTAACTGCTGTGGGTTTTTTTCTAAACTGTGGCGCCGCACAGTGGCACCACTGCCAACCATCCGTAGCTATGCCTGTACACATGACATCTAGGCTAGTAGTATAAGTGGTACATGCAGCTTCTGTAGTGTACAGCGGTGCATTCACCTAATACACCAGCAGGTTCATGTGCGGTGAGCTCCATTCTCTAATGTACTTCCTTTGAGCCAGGAGATCTCTAGCCATTGTGCATGTGTGTCAAGTTTGTTATTGTGGTGCGTTCCATGTGTTGTTAACATGAACGCAACTACGGCCGGATGGACACAATGAATCGCTTCATGAATTTCTTATCTAATAGTAATAGGGTGTAAAGAGCAATAGATTTTCCCATTGGCCAATACTTTTCACATCAAAATGTGCTTTTCTATGAAATATAATTTGGAATTGGAGTCTGCACGCTATCCTGTACTTTGTATGCTCTTTCATGTGTTATATTTGGACTAAGACCTGCCTCTGTTGACTTGTGTGTGTGTGTGCTGGTGTTTTGTTGGATTTCTGTACTGAATCCTACCCAGAACTCTAGAACTCTAGATACTGATAGGCTGAAAACAGCCACACTTGCCCATTTTTGTGTTGGCATGTCTGAGTGTTCAACCAAGCTTGTGCTCCATGATGTGTATGTAGTGGAGAGTGGAGGTGTATGTGTGTGTGTGTGTGTGGGGGGGGGGGGGGGTAATTCCCTCACGTGTAATAATCTCCCTTAAAAGTGGCCACAGGGGCGTCGGAAGGTATTCAACATTGGTGCGGCCACGCAGAAGGGGGGGGGGGGGTGCGTGCGGGGTCCTCAAGCGTAAAACTGTGTGATAGATTTCAAACCACTGTGTAGGCACCTGTTGGACTTGACGTTGAAAGAGCACAAGACGAATCCCACCAGGTACAGCCTCTGGGTGAAGAGGTCGGCACTCGTATAATGAGCCTTTTACAACGTTTTTTCATCCTCAAGCTGAGCAACCGACTCGTGCTCTCCCCACTCCTGCATGAAAGTGTGAAGGCTACTGCTGGGCTCATTGAAATCCTGTGGAATGACCAAGGTCGGCGCCCGCACTGCCTCAGCGCGTACACGCACTGTGGTTCTCTCTCTCTCTCTCTCTCTCTCTCTCTCACACACACACACACACACACACACACACACACACACACACACACACACACACACACACACACACACACACACACACACACACACACACACTGTATAAGTAGACCAGCAGTGCTCGCGGCTGCAAGGCCAGTGCCCCGTGGCAGCTTGACTTCTCAACGGACTTCAATGTCCACATCAGTATATTTATCTTTTTTCTCACTTTTTTACACTTTTTTGCACTCCTTTACTGCAGCAAGTCAAAAACAACAGGTAACTCCAAAGTTCAAATGAAAAGCCGAAATCTAAACCAAGACCATGTGGATTAAACTCATGCTATTTTGAAAGCCATATCATGAACTGTTTTCTCGCTCCACATATACTGGCACACACAGAGACATAGACAGCAATAGCGACAACACACAAAGTGAAGGGTAGTTGGCGGCAGCCAGATGTGACTAAACACACCAGATGCCATATTTGCTACTGAAAATGTTTCGTTTCGCGAGAAATCATTTCTCGCCTATCTCGCTGCGCTCGGCCGGCGAGAAATACAACTTCTTTCTGTACACCGATATTCTTCTTGTTTGTATGCTGCAGTTGATGTCACGGTCAAAGCCGGACCCGAGTGCCAACGGTGGCGCCGGAGGCACTGAGAGGAAAGTCAACAAGGCGGGGAAGAAGAAGCAGAAATCCTTCCCCAAACTGATGGACTTCATTGAAGGACGGGACTATACTGGTGAGGCGAAGAACTATTCAAAAAGCAAAACCAAACTATTTTAAAGGTGGCAGCCTACCCAAACCATGGTTTGGCGCAGAAAAACACCCTTAACTTTGGAATGGGTTATGGGAATCCGTTCAAATCTTGGGCACAGTTCCCTCACAGTTGCCAGACCAGAATGACACTATCGTTGTGAAAATCCAAGCTAAACGACGCGTGTATACTGAGAGTTCTCTCTTTTTGCGTCTACGCGCATATTTCGGTGCAGGCTGCAAGTCACAGAATTGGTCACAAGATATCACACATTGTTCCAAAGTAACCCTTTCTTCCTCCGTTAACAAAAACTTCGTGATGGATTTTGATGGATATGAAAACGCTTAGAAAAGGTCAAGAACAGTTTGTATCGACTGCAAATCACTGGACGAAGGTGATTCAGCCTATGTACAGCGTCTTTACAAGAGAAACTGTTGGCGGAATGAGCAGAGAGTTCAGTTTGCGTCGCTTTCGCTCGATTCATTTTTGACCTGCGTCGCTGTCGTCATCTGCTGCATGCGAGTCGTCATCTGCTATACGCGAGTCGTCATCTCGAGTCGTTGTTCAGCTCGTTTCAGCCTTGCCTCGGCTTCTTTGATCACACTCCGCTTGATGTCGCCGTCGTTCAAGTAAGTTTGCTTTCAAGCTGCGTAATCCGCCGCGATGGCGATTACTCGTTTCCACCAGGGAGTCGTGAAAAATATTTTACGACTCCCTGGTTTCATCTTCGCTCTCCAGAACTCCGCGAAACGAGGAGTAAAGGCACAGTCAAACTGATTCCATTTTCTCTAATGGATACCAGCACTGAACGGCAGCGGCTAGCAAGTCCAGTCGACTTTCTTTAGCCACGAGACTCGCATCGGACTGCAGACTTCTGAAAGAATGCATGGTCATCAACATTCGAATCTGGGCTTTGCGCAGGTTGAACAAGAACTTGAGTTCAGAATTATTTTCATTGAGCCGTGCGATCGGAGCAGCTCCTTGTTCACTCGCTCATTGTGTGGGCTCGCTGCTCCGTTTTATCGCTCTCTATCACTCTCCAACGTACTCAGTGCTAAAGTGGTAGAGAGGCCAAGCAGCGCAATATCCCCTCGGAGAAGTGGTATTTCAGTTTCGCTCGCCATGACAAACCTCAAAAAAACAAGGGATTGATATCAGGTATTTTGAGGGGAAGCTGCAGAACTTAGAAGTGCGAAAACGAACGGTCTTGATGAACAACGTTGGATGGACTGAAATGTCAATATTTTGGTTTACTATTGTAAATGTTGGAGGTTTGCGAACTTCCTGAGATTCAGTAGATACGAAAAATGCTATAGATTATGTGTCTATGACAAGCCGTTCTGCAGCTATGCTGTACCAAAATCTTGCGGAATGGTGAGAAAAAAAGAGAAAAATCACAGTCAAAATCACAGTTGGAAGCCACCAGCCTCGTAAGTGGTGCCTTCTTGTTGGCTCACAGCATCTGCCAAGCCCTTCCTGACCGCCCTGCGCCTTTTCCTTTTCGACTTTTGCTCATCCGAAGACTTCCTCCGGGCATGGTAGACCTTCCTTATGTCCCCCATGGCCAGCTGTCGGCTGTTTGCTGACTGCGGGGAACACTGCATGCGCTGTAGTATCTCCTGGAGTTTCTCATAGCCGTCATTGAAGATCACAACAGCCAGATTGACAGCAGTCTTCACTGTGGCAGCACTGCAGAAAGTCTCCTTGGGACAAAGGTGCCACACCGTGCCGTTAAAGGACGCATTGATGTTCTGTGTGGCCCCCCGCGCGCAGCGATCAAGTAAAGGGCGGTCGGTCAGTCGATGGTACACTGGCTTCATCACCTCTATGACGGCAGGTGGAATGGTGCCGTGGTGAATGTAGGGCCCTGGCTTCCCAGCTTTCACCTGCTGCCACTTACACCAGGATGTTAAGCCAGGTGGGCAGAACTCGTGTTGGGGATGGCTATCTGAGGATGCTCTGTGGCAGAGGGAGGCCCATATGGCCCGTGCCATTTCAGTGACATTGCCTGCATGCTGCCGAATCGCCATACCGGAAAAATTCTGCAGCGAATCGATGAGCTTGTCGGTTAGGCGACCCTTCCCACTGATTGACTTCCCATCAGCAAGCTTGTCCTTCCCTAGACGTTGCTTCAAGTCACGGAGACCTTTTCCTAGTCTCTTCTGCACATGGCCCACGCACTCCTCTTTGATGACGGGCACCTCACCATATGGCTTGTCATCTACAACAGCTTTGTAGCCTTTGCTGTCCCGTCACCGATGTACGTACAAACTACGGACTGCAGCAGTCTCCATTGCAGGAGAGGAAACATCAGTGTTGCGTTGGCAGCTATTTTGGTGGGTGACCTACCAGGCAGCATAATCTGCCTGTGACAGGGTTCCGGCTTCCAGTCTCGCATGCCTGTTGACGCACACTGGGCAGGACCTGGACAGCACTTCTATGTCCAAAACCTTCTTGGTGTCAAATGAGATCACTGTCTGAACACCATAGAGGGATGAGTGACCTCGGCGCATCCACGTTCCATCGGTTGTGATGGTGACGTCTCGGGGACGGTCCACGCCGTCGGCCAGCCTGCGGTCGCGCAATTCCTTGGCCCAACGGGTCATGCTCTCATGTGCTGCTTCCTCTGCAGCCAAGTGCAAGGCAGAGTTGTGGCGGTCGGATGCTAGCTTGGCAACAGGCCCTGGCAGATCAAGAACTGCACAAATATTGTCCAGTGCGTCCCGTCCTCGTCCCACCAACCTCATGGCAAGTGTTGACCGACGATTGATGTCAAAGAATTTCGCTTGGTCAGGTTTCTTGCCCATGGCCATTTCAGTTCTCACATTGCACGTATCACACTCCAAGACTCATGATCCACATTGGCACAAGTCCTACACATTCGCTCTCTTGCAGAGTAAGTTGCCCTTTTCGACAGTTAGAGCAGACTGCAACCTCTGACAGCAATTCGTCCAAACAAGAAATGTCAATGATGCGATTTCCAGTAAGTTCACGGGTGACATGTGTGTCTTCCTCGGAATCAGACTCAGTGTCGCTTGATGAGCTGTCAGTAGCCTCGTCATCATCTCCATCATCTGATGAAGAGGCTTGCGCAACGACGAGATCATCCCCAGGCTCGTTCTCTTCCACAACAGCAATTTCTTCGGCCATCACTTCCTGCAATACCTCCTGAATTTTGTGCTGATTCCCGCGATAGACTCTCTTTCGCTTGCGACCTCGGCCTTTACTCTTGTTCCCCATCACCAAAGAGTTCTTGATCAAGGCAACAATCGACTATTCAATTGGTATACTAGACTAGGACAGATGCGATACTCAACTCAAATTATTTCAAAAACATTCAGTTTCGAATTTTTTTCGATCTCAGCCCTGAGTAATAAAAAATTTACTACTCCCTGTCGACATGAGATCATGTCCACTCCTGGCGTGCGCGGCCCTGACTTCTCAACCCCGGCAGTTCGCTACTCCAAACCCACCTGGTGGGTCTACAGAATCCCAGTTTCAGCAAAACCCAAAGGCTACCCACATCAAACTGACAGGAAAGTGGGGAAGCACTGTGAAATGACAGCTCAATTTCTTTGAAATTCAAAAATTCAAATATTGCACTGCGCTGCGCACTTTGAAGGCCCATAACTTGAGAACGGCTGATCCAATTTCGCTCAGATTTTCGGGATAGACATTTGGGACCATTACCTTTCATTCGAGCCATCGATGAGCGATTCTGAGCATTTTGATTTTTCGTGATTTTTGGGTAACAAGCCGGGCTTCGGAAACGGGAACATCTGGAGAGACATCATCCATCCCCCTATGCCAGGGGAAGAACTACACTGTTTCCAAAGGAAATAATACATGAATTGGTGGTGACAGTATTTGTGGGTCAGACTGGCCTTTTCTCATCTATTCCTACAAGATGTTCTTTTAAACTGTGATACCTCAGTAGTAGGGAGTTGTGTCATCAGGGGGGGGGGGGGGGGTATGTGTTGGTGGAGGTGAAACAAATTCAAACAATGTCCCTCTTGCTCCCAGGCTGTCTGTTGCAATCGCCCATGGGGCAGGACTGCTTAAAAACACGTGCTATCAGCCATTGAGCGAACGGACACGATAATTGACTTACTTACTTTCATCAGTCATTACCGATCTTCGCACTGAATGTGTGTGTGTGAGACCCAGGATCATCTAGAACTTCCAAGTCTTGGGCTCACACGCCTAGGCTTCCGACACTTTGATCTTTTAGGTAATGGCAACAAATACGTATGAACAATGCAATCGGTCATATTTTTTTGAGAGGGTCCATTCATTTTGGGTGTAATGGCATGAAACGTGGCACTTCATTTGCTAGTCACTCTATGTACGTCAACACAGTAGCAGCTCTTCTCATGCAGTGGATTGTTTTGAAACTCAAATTTCCTTCGCAAAAACTTGGCAAGAAGAGTCAAGAGTGTGTTTTGCAAACATCTGTATTCTGTTGTCTTGAATAGATTTTTGGTTGAAGGGAAGCAGACCAAAACATGTACAAGGACCTATTTGCTGCAGCTTTAATCAGCACCGTATTTGACTTGAAGAGTAATGGTACGAAAGGTCTAGTCAATGACTTCTGTGCTGTGTTTTGTGTGTGTGTGTGTGTGTGTGTGTGTGTGTGTGTGTGTGTGTGTGTGCGTGTGTGTGTGTGTGTGTGTGTGCGTTTGTGTGTTTGTGTGTGTGTGTGTGTGTGTACGTGCGTGTGTGTTGGTTCTCTCATCCTGACTGGTACAGGAGCTGTGACGTTGCTGGAGTTTCAGAAGAGCCTGAACCGCTCGGCTCCTGACCAGGATCTATGGCTTGCTTATGCATACTTCCACCTGACTGACTACGCCAAAGCACTGAAGGTACAGCATACTGCAGTCCATGCAGAGGGAAAACCCAGTTTGGCCGGATTTAGGCTCAAAATTCACTCGTATATTGATATACCATAGCCCGGATGACTTTGAAAGCCGTGTTTGGCCAGATTTAGGCTCAAAACCCACCTTTACATCTTGAAGATTTTAGCTTTTAGACCTGCCTTTCCATACATTGGCCGTTGAAATACCTGTTCGAAACTTGTCAAACCTGGCCAAATTTCAAACTCCTTGTCTGAAACACAAGTATTGCAACCACAAAGATGGACATGGCACAGAAGAATTACACACGGAAATACTATGCGGCCCGGGTATGCAATTTGTTTGCTGGCACAGCTGCTGTAAGGCTGTTTTTACATGAGAAGTTTCAACCCGGGTCGAGTTCAGCCCGGGTTGAAAGTCTGTACGACAGACAAAAGAGGTGAGCGTTTACATGAAGACAGTTGACCCGGGTCAAATACTGATATGCCGCCAAAAGTCCACTTCTACAGTCCTGTATGGTCACGTGAATCCGTTCGCGCGAAATTTGCATCTGCAGTGCTGTTCAAACCTGGCGCGAGATACGCACAGAAGTACGTTTGTACGATTTTCTTGACCCGGGTTGATTTCAACCCTCCCCTTGGGGGGAGGGTTGAAATCAACCAGGGGCGAAATTTCACCCCGGGTCAAGCGCAATGCGTCATGTAAACGCGCCATTCATTTCATGCACATGGCGGGTTGAAATCTGACCCGGGTTGAAACGCTTCATGTAAACACAGCCTAACAAGACAGCAAAACTGAGAGTGCCCGTTTTGGAAGAAGCAAATTGAAAATTGCATTGCAGTGAAGTCCTGATAAGTTAATGCACCCTGTTGGCTCTGGTGTACAGTCAAACCTCGTTAGGACGAACTTCAAGGGGCTGAACAAATTTGTTTGTCTTATCGGGAGTTCTTCTTATCCAGATCTGACAAAAAAATCTATATGCATATCATATGGATTGTATTTACGTGAAGGTGCATACTGTGGTAAATGGGAAGCATTTATTCTCAGCATAAGCCAGAAACAGACAATGTGCTACAATTCGTGACTGTGCTTCCATATACAAACAAATACATTACGATAAACCATAGATTGAATATGAGTGATTACGAGTGTGCATGTGAAGCACAGCATCTCAACATCCATACTTTACAAAAAAGTTCACGGTTCGTGTGAGACTCGGTCGGAGCCAGTGGAGGCCGAGTTTTCCGCGTCCGCAGGAACGCCACTACCCTCTACGGATCAACGCTCTTTGCTTCACAAAACACTTCACAACTCGATCAACGACGCGAACAGTGTACTCTGAAGCTTGGCCTAGAAAGCACGCACGTCAGTGCGTCTACTACGATTTACTACGTAGATCTATGTACGTACAATCAATGTATGGACCCGGCTATCGAAAAAAGAAAGAAAAAAAGACAGCCAGCGCACGCACACGCACCCAAAGTTCGTACTACGCGCTGATTTTATTCAAATCACACTTGAAAATAGTTCGTGTTCGCGAAAGTTCGCCATACAGGAGTTCGTCGTAAACGAATAATTTTGACTGGATATGATGCCTGGCCAAACATAGGATTGGCCCTAGTTCGTACTAATGGAAAGTTCGCCTTATCAGTGTTCGTCCTAACGAGGTTTGACTGTAGTCTGTCTTATTCGATATCGTTTTAAGTGTGCTTTTCACTGTACAATATTAGATATACTGTAAACCCGGCTGTGGCCGTGTGTTCTCTGTTGTGTGGTGTGTGTGTGTGTGTGTGTGTGTGTGTGTGTGTGTGTGTGTGTGTGTGTGTGTGTGTGTGTGTGTGTGTGTGTGTGTGTGTGTGTGTGTGTGTGTGTGTGTGTGTGTGTGTGTGTGTGTGTGTGTGTGTGTGTGTGTGTGTGTGTGTGTGTGTGTGTGTGTGTGTGTGTGTGTGTGTGTGTGTGTGTGTGTGTGTGTGTGTGTGTGTGTGTGTGTGTGTGTGTGTGTGTGTGTGTGTGTGTGTGTGTGTGTGTGTGTGTGTGTGTGTGTGTGTGTGTGTGTGTGTGTGTGTGTGTGTGTGTGTGTGTGTGTGTGTGTGTGTGTGTGTGTGTGTGTGTGTGTGTGTGTGTGTGTGTGTGTGTGTGTGTGTGTGTGTGTGTGTGTGTGTGTGTGTGTGTGTGTGTGTGTGTGTGTGTGTGTGTGTGTGTGTGTGTGTGTGTGTGTGTGTGTGTGTGTGTGTGTGTGTGTGTGTGTGTGTGTGTGTGTGTGTGTGTGTGTGTGTGTGTGTGTGTGTGTGTGTGTGTGTGTGTGTGTGTGTGTGTGTGTGTGTGTGTGTGTGTGTGTGTGTGTGTGTGTGTGTGTGTGTGTGTGTGTGTGTGTGTGTGTGTGTGTGTGTGTGTGTGTGTGTGTGTGTGTGTGTGTGTGTGTGTGTGTGTGTGTGTGTGTGTGTGTGTGTGTGTGTGTGTGTGTGTGTGTGTGTGTGTGTGTGTGTGTGTGTGTGTGTGTGTGTGTGTGTGTGTGTGTGTGTGTGTGTGTGTGTGTGTGTGTGTGTGTGTGTGTGTGTGTGTGTGTGTGTGTGTGTGTGTGTGTGTGTGTGTGTGTGTGTGTGTGTGTGTGTGTGTGTGTGTGTGTGTGTGTGTGTGTGTGTGTGTGTGTGTGTGTGTGTGTGTGTGTGTGTGTGTGTGTGCTCTGTTGTGTGTGTGTGTGTGTGCTCTGTTGTGTGGTGTGTGTGCTCTGTTGTGTGGTGTGTGTGCTCTGTTGTGTGGTGTGTGTTCTCTGTTGTATGGTGTGTGTTCTCTGTTGTATGGTGTGTGTGCTCTGTTGCATGGTGTGTGTGTGTGTGTGTGTGTGTGTGTGTGTGTGTGTGTGTGTGTGTGTGTGTGTGTGTGTGTGTGTGTGTGTGTGTGTGTGTGTGTGTGTGTGTGTGTGTGTGTGTGTGTGTGTGTGTGTGTGTGTGTGTGTGTGTGTGTGTGTGTGTGTGTGTGTGTGATTTCTGTTGTGTGGTGTATGTTCTATGTTGCATACCATGTGTGCTCTATTGTTTGGCGTGTGATCTGTGAACCTATAGATATATGAAGATCTTCTGGCCGTCGATGCGGAGAAGTACAACAATGTCTACGTGAACATAGCCGCCTGCCAGTTCTTCCTCGGGAACTTTGCCAAGGCCGAGGAAGCAGGAAAGAAAGGTACCATGTTTTCCTGAGTACAAGCCATGCTGCAGTATAACCTGCGCCCAGATATTTTGTCATGAAAGACAGACATCCACCCTGTGTATCATGCTTCATTTGACCATCGTAATATGAGCGGCAACGACTGTTTTCGGGTGAACTACTATGGGTGTTTAAAGTGCGGCATATACTCCAGAAAATACAGTTCCTTTGCCTAGCTTGGTTTGCATGTTCCTGAGCTTTACGCTGGTGGCGGTAACAGTTTATAGTTCTTGTGCACTGAAGCTCCTTAACCAGTGGTGTGATCAGCAAGTGTCTCATTTAGTGAACAGTCAACCTTTCGATTGACAACCCTCAAACTGGGCATGAAAGAAGTGTCGTTACTTGTGAGTTGTCGTCGTTCGTGAGGTTAAACGTATACGATCAAGTTGTCACATGGTCTGGAGATATCGCTGTTATTCGGGACTTTTTGTGCACGAGGTAGCTATTCGCGAGTGTGACTGTATTTTCCTGTTCTCTGTTGTCTGCCCTGTCCTTCCTGCAGCACCTGATTCCCCTCTCAAGTTCCGCACCTTGTTTCACATCGCTGGAAAGGTACACACACTTTTTAAAAGCATGTTTCTAAAGTATTTCGCTGATTACTGAACCATGGCTACCGGCTGGCTGCTTTGGAGCACGCGCCTGTGCATGGAGATATGTGCACTTCTTTACACACTCCCCCCTCCTCCTCCTCCTCCTCCTCCTCCTTATCTAAGTGCAGTTGGGAAGATCACACATGTCTTGTGAAAGTTGCGGTTTGAATCAGGCTTTGAATTATAGCTTTTTGATTATAGCTATGTGTTTGTCTGGATGTAGCTGGCATGGCAGATGATGTCACAGCAATGTTCGAGTGGTGTGATAACTGATAAGCATCATTCATGATGTCATGATGACTGGGCCTGGTAACATAACGACGGGCCATGCGTCTCTGATGATGGATTGCTTGCATGCATTAAATTTGTTCTGTTGTGTGTGGATGTGTGGGTGGGTGTGCTGTAATCTATTAGACGAGTGAGGAAGCTACCAAGGAGTACCATCAGCGACTTAGAGATGTTGTTGAGGATCAGGTAATGTACACGGTGTGTAGTCAAGCTGTTCCTACCGCCCTACCACCGCCACCGCAACCGCTGCCACCACCACCACTGCTGCTGCTGTTGGTGGTGGTGCTGCTGCTAGCCTGAGTGTTGTGGCACTGCAACTGCTGCCACTGTCTAGAGATTCGCAAGTGAAATGTGGGATAGGTCATGAGGATCAGGGGCGTAGCCAGGATAGTGATCAAGGGGGGTGCCACGACTTTCCCCACACAAAAGTACATGCACTTATGTTGGTCCTTTTAAGTTTCATGCACATTATTCCATCCATGAAATGGGGGGGGGGGGGGGAGCAAAATTCGCCCCTAATTTGACGCTGAAAATCAATCAGTGAATGGCAAATCTCCAACCAGGGAGTAGTAATTATTATGATATTTTACTACTTCAGTACTCCCTGCTTCCAACTAATGATGCACAAAGTCCTGGATGCTGCTTTCTCCAGAATTATCACACTCTCCATCGAACTTTTAAAGTGGGATTTTTCGAGCCATGTTTCCTCTTTGTCATGTTTGATAGTGCAGTAAGGCATCCTTGATCAAACCTATGCTAAGTTATTCCCCACAAAAACTCAAACTGCACTTCAACGTTACATTCACTCTTCTGCTGCTGTACCCACACTTGCAACACTTGAAAGAAACTGTGCCTTTCCACAACCTCCATCAAGACCAATTAACAGCCGGAACTACATTATACAAAAACATAGCGAGAGTAAACTGCTATGTCTGACGCGTGCTTTCCGGCCATGGACCGCGTTGCTACTTCCTTGCTTCTACCAATGGCGTGTTTTGTATGATTCCTTGCTTCTAACAAAACATGTGGAGTGCGATGCAAATCATGCGCTGAGCCTCCCGAGGCCTGATGTGACACTGCACAACAGCAGGCACGAAGCGGAGTTCCCTTGACTAGAAATTTCATTGCAAAATGGCCAATCATGAGACAAAAATTAATAGTCAACTGCATGTGGATTGGTTTCAGATACATTGTACTTGCAGGTCTGAACCAGGGAGTAGTACCTACTACTTCCTGGTCTGAACAGAGATTGCTACAGTGTGCGATGTGCAGAGTGGCAGTGGCACGTATGTGATCAGCGGTCTGCGTATACTATACTATGGTCTCTCTCTCTCTCTCTCTCTCGAACCAGCTGTGAAACAAGATCGAAATTTTTGAGGGGGGTGCTTTGGCACCCAAAGCACCCCCTGCCTACGCCCCTGAGGATAACACAGTAATAGACTGCAGGGAGAATGAGAGGGATTGGTCAGCAGCTGACTGGATTGTACACAGTACACAGCCTGTTTCAGCGTGCATACTGTGATGGTGTTTGTACTGTGTAATTAACCATGTTCTATTGAGTTACAAACGAGAGTCCTCCAGCTCGGTATTTAGTTATCTGATGATTGCTTGTGGGCATGAAACTATTAGTTGCAATGAATGAGGCGTGGTGCTCTGTGCCGTGTGTAAGTGTGTGATATTGTGTTATCATGCTACACTACACAGCTTAGCCTGGCGTGCGTATTGTCATGCTGTTTGCATGCTGTAATAAATACAGTTGCCTTGTGTAATCATGCTGTACTGCACAGCCAAGCCACCGTGTGCATTGTGATCTTATTATGCCCATCGTACATTGCCAAATATGGAAGGTACGAGTAATGCATGTGAGTACGCTGGGATCAGCAATGCACTGTTCAACACCCCAGACGACTATGCCCAGGTGGCTGTGTGGGGTGTTCATGGTACAAATTACGTCATTACGCAATGGGCCTATTCGCATTCGTTGATCGTGTCGCACTGCACAGCTAAGCCTAGTCTGCATATTGTGATGGTGTTTGAATTGTGTAATTATGTCGCACTGCACAGCTAAGCCTGGCGGCCATTCACTACCTGCGTGGACATCACCAGGAAGCCATTGATATCTACAAGAAGCTCCTGCTACAGAAAGCGTAAGAACGGCAGATGACAATGTTGTACAAGCAATTGCGCCCAGACCAAATCTGCTGTACATTTCCTAGTGCAATGAAATCTGTGTTTAGGGGCCATTCTGTATTGGGCGTAAACCGGTTCTTATAAAGTATATTCTCTAATTGCAGGGTCACATTATAATTATGATCTATAGGTTTGTGCGTATACCGGTGTGTTTATGCATGTGTGTCTGTGTGTCTGTGTGTGTTTGCGTGTGTGTGTGTGTGTGTGTGTGTGCACGTGTGGGTGTGTGCGCGCGTGTGTGTGTGTGTGTGTGTGTGTGTGTGTGTGTGTGTGTGTGTGTGTGCGTGTGCATACATGCGTTCATGTGTGTGTATAATATGCTGTGTGTTCCTACAGTCGAGACTACTGGGCATTGCATGTGTACGTTGCTCTCTGCTACTACAAACTGGACTACTATGACGTCGCGGCGGTGAGTAATAAACTCTAAAACGGGAAAATTCCGGGAGAGTTATTTTTGGTGACTTCGGTACAGGTAATTTTACCCGAAATAAAACGTCACCTAAAATTCAACAATGCCATGCCACATAGCGTGCAAATGCAGTTTTGGTTCTGGTTTACCGAAATATTTGCGTTGCCAAACTGTTGATTTTTGGGAAATACCGAAAATATTACACCACCGAAAATTCCCGGTTTTACAGTAAACTCGGTTCTGAACAGGAGTGTTACTCCTTGACCAAACCAGTTGAAATCCACATCCCGGGATTCGAGAGGGGTGGGAGGCTCTGTGAGCTGGCGACAGGGAAAATCCCAGGACTACCTCAATATGGATTTGGGTGTTTTGAGCTCTAAGGTGACCGCCAACATAATTGCGAGTAGCTCACACAGAGCTCTCCACAGGATTTGCTCACCTTTACCAAGCCAGTTGGATTCCACATCCCTGTGAGGTAGCAAAAAGGAAATTTTCAAGACTACCTGTGGTGGTTAGGCTCCAAGGAGGGTATCGCTATTATGTATATGGGTGACTAGTTTCCAGCAGTGACCATACATAATTGCCGTTATGTGTGTCTTTGTTCAAATTGTTATGCGTCTATGCATGTCTGTGCTCAAATGTCCATGTGTTTATGTGCCTTTCTGGCTATGTGTGTCTATGTTCAAATGTCTTTCATGACTGCAGCAAGTCTTGAGCCAATACCTCAGTGTCTATCCGGACAGGTTAGTGTGTTGCATGCTCGGCGGACAGATCTGTGCTTGTCATGCTTGCTTCTTGGCTTTCCCAATCTTGAGCCTCTCCTTTCTCCCTCTGTTTCCCTTGCTCGAACTAGTATGTATACACACAGCGTCGTGAATATAGCGGTAGATCACACTGTACACAGGACCGGCGGAAGCAGTTGTTGATTTGCGCGGCTATACCCTAGGCTTTCATACAGTTTGTGTAGGAGATGGCGGGCACACATGACGTAATCAGCAGTCAACTCATGTGATCTTGGCAAAAAATACTTCGAGGTAGAATGAAAAATAAAAAATAAACATGCTTTGATGGCCAAAAAAAGCTGGTCCAGCCATGTCCCGACCAACCGGACCGGTTCTGACAGGCCTAGTACGGGTGGGCAATGCGATGTGTACACTGTCTACGTCTACCACCAGCATGAACAGACTTTTAACTTCCGGAATTGACGTACAACTTTCTTGTACGCCCTCTGTCAACGAGTCTATCTGTTCTCAGATTTATTTTCTTATTTTTTCACCTTCCCGTGGCCCGAGAATAGGGGCCAGTATGGAGGGAGGGGGGAGGGAGGGGGGGGGGGAGGGGCGATAGCCAGCCATGGCAGTAGGTAAAAACCATGCAAAATGGTTACCGGCAGCGCCCGGTCCCACCCAGCCCGGATAAGAAGAGCTCTACTGCACATGTATGTTAAGTACTTACCCAGGCTGCAATGTGCTCTGGTCTAGCAAACACATCATCCACGATGTAATAATAATGTTAATGTGCAGGGGCGTAGCAGCCGCTCCGGCCGGTCCGGCTTTGGCCGGACCACTTCTTCGCCCGACCACGACCACCTTTTGGGGTGCGCGGAATATGCTCGCACGCACCCGATATTATGCTTTCGGGCATTTCCCGCGAAACTTCGAAAGTATTCTCCCAAAACATCGAAAAAAACTCTAGCCCCAAAAAAGAACCCCGGCACGAACCGTGCCTTGCGCATGCTCTTTAGTATGCAAAATGGACGGTCAGACACGTGATCACTGCATGCAGGATCTATATACATGTACATGTCGCCAGCACTGTGAATTCCCCGTGTACTAGTATAGCCCGCACTCTGCTCCTGGTGTCTGCATGAATGCATGCAAGCCCAGTCAAGTCCTGCTAACGTTGTCCAAGTAAAGCAAGGACCGGTGTCGTGTCCGGGTGTTGCTACATGTACATGTATGTGCGTCCATGGATGCGCGCTTGTTCTCTGGCAGGTCAAAATAATTGACAGAATTCCCCAAAAACTCTTCTGAAGGTCAATGGATCTGGCCAAAGATCGATAGAATTCCCCTAAAACTCCCAAAATTTTCTCAACGATAGTATTCCCAAATTATTCCGGGAATAATCCCCGCACCCCTAACCACCATAGTAAAACAATGCCAAAAGTGCCCAGAATGCAGGATTTTGCACCCTAATTTCCAAAACATTACGGGGGAGATCCCCTTGGACCCCCTGGCCGGACCACCACCAACGGCGGTGCTACGCGCCTGATGTGTAATGACTTTGCATTAATGTGTTGTCTTGTGCCATGTACAGTGCAACGGCCATCAACTTGAAGGCATGCACGTTCTGCAGACTGTACAACGGAAAGGCAGGAGAGGTAGGTGTTCTAATCTTGTGCGTGTTTGGAGGGGGGGGAGGGACGTGTGTGTGTGTGTGTGTGTATGTGTGTGTGCGTGTGTGTGTGTGTGTGTGTGTGTGTGTGTGTGTGTGTGTGTGTGTGTGCATGCGCGTGTGTGTGACTGTGTGTGTGTGTGTGTGTGTGTGTGTGTGTGTGTGTGTGTGTGTGTGTGTGTGTGTGTGTGTGCGTGACGTGTGCGTATGTCTAGAGCATGGCTTTGTCAATAGACCTGTCAGTACATCTCGACTGCAACAGGTATTACGAGTCTAAACTTTACTTTTTGTTTCTCCCATTTTCCTGTTCACTCTGTATATCTGTTCTAGGCTGAACTGCGTGTACTCGACGAGCAGGCATCGTCCAGCTTCAAGTATGCCCAGGACCTCGTCAAACACAATCTGGTATGACCTTGCTCGCAGGCAACAGTGCACGGGATTCCCTGTTGTATCTGCTCTGTGCATTTGTAATATCAGGGTTGGCAATGGTGGTGCCGGGAGAGATGTGTTTGACCACAACTGGAGTTGAACCAGGACCGCCGGAAGCAGTTTTTGATTGGTCCGGTAGTTTCAGTGCCTTTCATACAGTTTGTGTATGAAATGGCAGATACACATGACCTCCACAGTAGGAAACTTTTGTTGGTGGCTAAAATGTTCGTCCGGTTATAACCTGACCAACCGGACCGGTTCCGGTGGCCCTGAGTTCAATGTCTACATGGTTCGTTTGCCTGTGCAGTGTGTGACATGCCCTATATTCCAGCATGTGCTGCTAGACAACACGCTAGAACTACTTACTAGTATTTGTAACCGCTACTGCTGCTGCCGTCGTTGCTGCTGGATCTGTGTGTGTGTGTAATCCCTTACTTGCAGGTGGTGTTCCGCGGTGGAGAGGGGGCTCTGCAGGTACTGCCACCTCTGATTGACATCATCCCGGAAGCAAGACTCAACTTGGTAGGTAGAACGGTATCAGAGGTGTAGTTGGTCCCCCTTTTGGGGGGGGGGGGGGGTACACACCACCGCATATGTATACAAGTTGGATGGCTGGTGCATGTCATTCATGGTCATTATGTGCATGCTGAACTTAGGTAGAAATTGGGGGGGGGGTACACATGCCCCCGTGCCCCATGCGGGCTACATGCATGGGGATTATCCTAGCAGCAGCTAGGGACATGGCATGAGACTAGAGCAACCTCAAAATGATGAGTACTTGATGTCGGATTGGATCGATTTCCATGCACGGTTTATACCACTCACGATGTCAGTTTCGACCTGTCCTCCTTGAACCGGCCCACACATTGTCCATGACCACCGGGCAGGAATGGGAGGGTGGCCTGGGAGAGAAACCCACATCGTTTCAAGTTCCAGTGGCCAAGTTGAACATTGTATAGGAAATTGGCTGTTCTGATAGCATTACAAAGAGTAACTGAGTTGAGAACAGTACGTGTCGACTAACTGCGTGTTGAAAGTGTGATGGGCGTATCCTTTGCCTGGTTTGAGAGGTCTGCACTCTTTGGGAGGCTACATTGAAGTTTTATGTCCATGCTCAGGCCACACGTGTGTGTGTGTGTCGCAAGTGTGTGTTGTCTGTCCATCTGTTTGTATCTACTGTTGACGACGACTATGCTAATTAATGCTCGCATTGCCATACATTGTTTGGCAGACAGAGTGATCGGAAGTGTCACTGCTTTTTCTCGCTCTCCGACGAATCTCTCTCTCTTTCTCTCTTTGGAGAAGCGTGTCATGGGCTATGTCGACCAGGAAACATCAGATGTGTTTGTACATTAATGCGTTTGTGTTTATGTGTGTGTGTATGTGTATGTGTATGTGCGTGCGCACTCGTGCATGTGCGTGCACACGTGGATTTGCTTTTTTCTGTTTGCAAACAGGTGATTTACCATCTGAAAAATGGTAAGCATTATTTCCTATGACTGGACCTGATTCTTCACTCTTCTATTTTCCACGCATATCTGCCAGGTCCGGAATCCTTTGTCTTTTGTGTGCACGTGTGTTTGTATGTGTGTGTGTATGTGTGTGTGTTTGTGTGTGTGCATTTGTGTGTGCGTGTGTGTGTGTGTTTGTATGTGTGTGTGTGTGTGTGTGTGTGTGTGTGTGTGTGTGTGTGTGTGTGTGTGTGTGTGTGCGTGCGTGTGTGTGTGTGTGCTTGTGTGTGTGCGTGCGTGTGTGTGTGTGTGTGTGTGTGTGTGTGTGTGTGTGTGTGTGTGTGTGTGTGTGTGTGTGTGTGTGTGTGTGTGTGTGTGTGCGTGCGTGTGTGTGCGTGTGTGTGCGTGTGTGTGCGTGTGTGTGGGGGGGGGGGGTGATGGTGTGTGTGTGTGTGTGTGTTTGTGTGTGTGTTTGTTTGTGTGTGTGTGTGTGTGTGTGTTTATGTGTGTGTGTGTGTGTGTGTGTGTGTATGTGTATTTGCACCTGTTCTGTTCAGACAACTACCAGCAAGCGTATGATCTGATCAAAGATGTGGAGGCTGGTACCCCGTCGGTAAGTGAATTCTGAAGAACTGATGCCGGGCCTTGTACATGAGACAAACAATGGCTTGCCCTCACACTATACTCATCAGGAATTTTCGTTGTACTAATGAAAAAACCAACACAAATGAACTATAATTATGGCATAAACAAATAGGTAAACAGTTTCCTCTGAGACAAAAACAAAGACAAAAACTTTCAAGATGTTTGTAATGAGCCTGAAGTGTGTCCTTTTTATGAGTATTATCGCATAAACAAATTGTTGCTTTTCTTACTTTTGTTCCATATAAGAGTTTTTGTGTTGGGTTGTCCATTAGTGCAAAGAAGATACTAGAATTTCAGAAATTTTGTGATGGTGCGGTACTCAAACGGACAAATGCATGAGCTATGCATGGTAAACACATTTGCTAGAACAGTTGTGTGTCAGTTATCAGGGTATTATCCTGACGCAGTGATGATGTTCATCTTTATACCACCGTACTTCCCCATATAAAAGTGCATGTGTTTATAAGCGCAGATGTGCTGCAAAAGGTTTTTTGCTGTGTAAAAACATCCGGGTAGAAGCACATGCGCTTATATGTGCAATAAAGGTTTGTGTGTGTCTTAAACAACGGTGTTGTCACAATGCTTAGTGGTATATTCAGCTCCCGGCTGCTTCACCAAGAGTGTTCACGTATAAGCACATGCGCTTATAATGGGGGGGGGGGCTTATGTCCGGACGTAAGCACATGCGCTTATATGTGCGGAAACACGGTAGATTGTCTTGTGCGTAATGCTGCATAGAGACAATGTTCACGATGCGCACTGTCCACATTTACTCGAAGTACTGTTGTGAGCATTGAAATCCGTTGAGAAGTCAAGCGACCATGGGCCCGGGGCGCTGGTCTTGCAGCCGTGAGCATTGCTGCTCCTGTTTGCAATGTATGTGAACTACAGTGCAAGTATGCGCTGAGGAACAGTGGGATTTTTTTACTATGTTCACGTACCCAGCTCGAAAAGAATAATGAAAGACAATGGTATGGAGACTAGGGCAAACGTGATAACTACTGAGCAGGCGCTTCACCGAGACGCAGCAGTGATGGTGGGGCATTGATAGCTCTGCCGACCTGAGGCCTCGGCATCACGGCCAAAAGCACGCACTAAAAACAAAGGAATTTAAAAGCTGTAACGGTCAGCAAAATGAAAAGAAAGCAAGGGCTAACATCAGCTAATGCCTTCCCTGGTCATTCCACCAGACTTCAATGTCAACAACAGTAAGACTGTAAAAAAATATACTGTGTATGAGCTGTCCGTTGAACTGTTGGATAACCTAGGTTCAGGATGACTGAACGCTGGAACATTGACATTCAACTGTTGGCTTGAACAATCGGCATGGCGACAATGTCTGCGTCCTTCATACGACTTATAGGCCGAGTTATCCTATAGGTTTGTGTTTCCTTCAACATTCAGCAACGTGCCGGTTCCTGATAACCCCAGCTTCTCCCTGGTTTTCTGTCTGTCTTTCTGTCCACAGGAGTATGTACTGAAAGGGGTGGCCAATGCGGCGTTGGGACAAGAGATCGGATCTGTAAGACTCAGCAGGTCATCTAGAACGTGTACTGGAGAATCTACTTTAAATTGCCCTTCCTCTAGGAACTCTTGGGTACATTTTTATTCGCATGCCAATGAGTCCTGTGCCCAAGAGTTAATATGGTTCAGTAGACCAAACACACTTCCAGACTATGAGTGAATATACTTATCAGACATATATTCACTGTTGTACACAAGACATGCGCACTGTTGTCACTATAGCTCGATTCCTCAGAGCTCAATTCTCCGTAAGTTACAGGTGGATCAAAGTCACGAAGCTCTTGTTTCCGAAAGCAGTAAGAGATTGAGAAGTAGTGATGTGCTGATCAAGCACGGAAAAGCTTTTTTATTTATTTGTTTTATTTTTATTTTTTACTGAATACCACACCTGAAGTGACTGTGTGCCGTAGTCTCATCTACATACTAGTGGGCAATTCTCCAGTCTTACAAACTGATTGGACGGAGCAGTTAAGCACACACTGTCATGGTTTCTAGAGTTGCTGTCATTGTCCTGGCAATAGGCGACTAATTTCTCATGTGTGTGTGTGTGTGTGTGTGTGTGTGTGTGTGCGCGCACGCGCGTGTGTGTTTGTGTGTGTTTGTGTGTGTGTGCTTGTGTGCGTGTGTGTGTGTGTGCGTGTGTGTGTGTTTGTGTGTGTGTGTGTGTGTGTGTGTGTGTGTGTGTGTTTGTGTGTGTGTGTGTGTGTGTGTACTTCGGTGTGTGTGTGTGTGTGTTTGTGCGTGTGTGTGTTCGAGCGTGCATGTGTATTTCTGTGTATGCATGTGCGCATGAATGTGTGCGTGTCTACAGAGAGAATTGTCTCGCACAGCCCAGCAATACTTTCAACTGGTTGGCGGCTCTGCCAGCGAATGTGGTATGTCATGGTTCTGTAGAACTATATTTCACATACAGTCAGACCTCGCTTATCCGGTCCTCTTTTATCCGGATGTCTCCCCATCCGGAAGAAAACCGTCGGTTACCGATTTACAGCATACGTCATGTATACATACATTATGTGTGTTTGATTATCCAGTTCTCTCGCCTATCCGGATATTTTTGTGGAAAACGGATGTGTGCGGTTAAGCGAGGTCTGACTGTACATGATTTCCTGATGTTCACCTTCCCTGCACTTTCACATCCGTTACCATACTGATAAGAGAACATGACCCGGATTACAGCGTGCTTACATTCTGTATACGGCCAGACCAGGCAGTCGAATTGATGAAAATGAATTTCAATGAGCAGTAGCGTCAGTTTACATTTTTGCCAACATCCCATCGGCGTATGTCCTGTGTCTGATCTGACTACAGATACTATTCCCGGAAGACAGTGCATGGCGTCCTGTTTCTTCTTGATGAACCAGTTCCCCGATGTCCTCGTCTACCTCACCTCCGTCAAGGTAGGCGCGTAGGTGTGTGAATGACCGTGTGGTGTGTGTTGTGTGTCATGTGTGTTTGAGAGGGAGTGTGTGGTACCTGTTTGCGACCATGGGGTGTGACGTTTGCTTCTGACAACGGTGCTTAACTTGGTTTCCTAATTGGGGACGGGGGGGGGGGGGGGGGCATGATCAGGCGACTGATGATTGCATATAGGAAGGAACTCTGAGTTTCGACAAACGTTTAAACCTCCTTTGTGCCTTTTGGGTGTTCTTGGTTCTCTTTGGGTGATCTTCGGGGTGGGGGGATTCCCCAGGCGCGTGTGCCGGTGCCCTTCAAGGGGGTTCCGGGGGACTTCCCCCCCCCCCCCCCCGGAAATTTTTCAAACAATGAAGCAAAATCCTGCATTTTGAGGGAAAAAAGGGGGGTTCCGGGCACCCAGGAAACCATACGGGGCACGCGCCTGGGGATTCTTAGGTCATTTTAGTGATGTGGAGACTAAGAGTACATGAATTGTGGACGAAATTGCAGTGCAGTCAAACCGGTTGATTAATCATGTGAGTCACTAATGCCGCATGGATTGAGTGGAGTTGCAGCCAACATAGCTGTCCTACATTGTCATGTGATGCGGCTGCGCGGGCAATAGGCTTGGACAACACCGTGATGGGCCATCTGTGGATGTGCTGCTGCGGTTGCTGCTGCTTCTTCTAGTGTGAATGTTGGTGTCATACGTTTTGTGTTGGGTGTTGGGTGTTGATGTGGTGTGATGGTAATGTGCGTTGTGTGTTGTGTTGGTACTGGTGCCGGTGTTGTGTGCTGTGTTGTGTGTTGCATTCAATGCAGACGTACATCTACACTGACGACTCGTTCAACTTCAACTTTGGCCAAGCCAAGGCTCAGCTTGGCCAGTACAAGGAGGCAGAAGAGGTGAGTCAGCATTGAAGGAGTGGAAGAAAAAGGAGCGAGCCGCTGACTTAGCGAGCCGCTGACTTAGCGAGCCGCTGACTTAGCGAGCCGCTGACTTAGCGAGCCGCTGACTTAGCGAGCCGCTGAGGGACAGACTGAGAGCTATTTACCGTGGGATTGCAGGCAGGGCGGAACCGGTCTGGTTGGTCAGGCCATGGCCGGACCATATATTTGATTACCAACGTGTGTTAACTGCCGAGGAGGGCATGTGTATCCGACATATCACACACAACGCATGAAAGGCTAGGGTATGTCCGGACCAATCAAAAACCGCTTCCACCGGTCCTGGGATGGTATGACCCTGGGTCAGCTAGAGTGCCCATCCTATCAGCCCGTGTCCAATCCTGTGCAGTGTCATCCGAAGATGCACGTTTACAAGACTAGTAGGCGCGTTCGAATTGTCACTCTTTGACATTTCGAGGAGTTTCGTTTTTCTGAAGAGGTGGCTTATTGGCCTCTTCAGAAAACGAAAGCCTCCTTGAAACTCCTCGAAACTCCACAACCTCATCCGATGGGAGAGGTGGATTAGTTCTGAAGAGTTTGGAATAGCTACGTCACGTAGTACGTGGAGATGGTCGATCGGATCGCAGACGTCATTATCGCCATGACAATTCCACTGAAAAAACTCTAAAATGATAGGAACAGTTCTATTGGGATACTTTAACTAATCTCTTTTTGGAAGAAGGGCTGAGGCTTCCTGCAGCTTCATCTGCGAAAAGAATTCGGGTGGACACACCCATTCCCATAGCGCTGCATATCACATCCGAACCAGTTCCGTTATTTTTACAACGTTTCGGCACTTGGCCATCGTCAGGTAATAACAATGAATTCATTGTTATTACCTGACGATGGCCAAGTGCCGAAACGTTGTAAAAATAACGGAACTGGTTCGGATGTGATATGCAGCGCTATGGGAATGGGTGTGTCCACCCGAATTCTTTTCTCTTTTTGGAATTTGTTCAAACCGTTGATGAAGACAATTCGAACGAGCCCCCAGATGCAAGCATCACAGTATAACGTGTGTGGTTGTATCAGCTACACTTTCTTCATCTTTCATTGAGTGTCTAACCGTATCGTTAGACGGAAAGGCAGAAATGCCTGGGCATCTGATGAAGTGAAATAAAACACACAAACATTTTTATACAAAAAAGAAAAGACCAAGGAACTACAAGTTACGCTATACTGTCCACTAATAACAAGGCAGGCACAGTGGGTTGGTCAAAGACCATGATTGAGATACGAGAGGTACCTGGTTCAAGTCCTGCCTGGGAGCGGTTTTTCCAGCCTTGCTGCTACCCACAGTCAACTGGGAACTTGTGGCCAGGCACAAGGGGTACATGGATGCAGCTAATGGGGTCGTTTTCGGCACTTGTGCCAGTGGTTGTGAGACTTACCCACTCACCCCCACCGTTAGGCGCTGCATCTGCCGCTAGGGTTTATCGGGTGTTAGCGGCCGTCGTGAGTTCCCTTCGGGAACGGATACGATAATTTACTTTTTTTAATTTTAATACCACCAGTTACTAAACAATCAGCTCATGCGATAACATTGCACGACACTGACCGACGGTACTGACGTTCTACAACTAACTGGCTAACAGCTCTAGCACATCTTGGATGCGTACTCCAACAGCCTTCCAACTTGGAAGGTTCTAAGTTATAGAAATAACACAAGGTAGTTTCTGTTAGCAACCGACATCCACTGAGCACAGTAGTCCTCGTGTCTAACCCTATGCAGTGTCATCGCCAGATGCACATCTACCTGTATGCATCACATCTCTTTGTTTCAGTTACACATCCCAGTCCGGCAACCGGGGTTTCCTGGAGACACGTATGTGTTACATACTTCAGTACTCGTGTTCCTCGTGTCCCTTACTCCTGTACATGTACATGCCCCTGTGTTTGTCCCTGTGTGTGTGTGTGTCTCTGTGTTTATCCCCGTGTGTGCGTGTGTGTGTGTGTGTGTGTGTGTCTCTGTGTTTATCCCCGTGTGTGTGTGTGTGTGTCTGTCTGTGTTTGTTATCTCCGCTCTGCTAGTACTTGATGGCCATTCAGGCCGAGAGGATCAAGTCAGACTACGTCTACACAAGCTGGCTGGCCAGATGTCGTAAGTTATCTCCATGAATATCTAGCTCACTAGCTGTTGTGTTTTGCACATTCTGCCTGCTTGGTACATATAGTCTTCATTTGGCCTCTGCAGCGCTCAATAGACTGGTTTCACACACCTATCACCTGACCATCTAGGGCAGCCATGTTGGTTACAACTCCACTCAACCTCCACATCTATAGGTCACATGACGTCGGCCATGTTTGTTCCACTGCCCACATGACATGATCACTTGTCTTTCTTCACAAGTTTAGTCACATGAAATGGGGATGTGAAACCACTCTGTTTAAAAAGTGTACATTTAGGAAAAGGAACTTGACAGAAAGGAAATATGCGTCCGCTTTGAACATTTTTCCATACCGGTGTTTCCTGTGTTTGTCTTCTGTTTGTGAGCGGGCATGTGTGTGTGTGGGGGGGGGGGGGGTATGTGTGCACATGTGTGTGTTCATTTGGGTGTGTGTGTGTGTGTGTATGTGTGTGTGTCTGTCTGTCTGTGTGTCTGTACGTGCCCATGTGAATGCATTTGTGTGTACGCCTGTATGCACACACGCACATACAGATATCATGAACCAGAAGCCCAGCATGGCCTGGGATCTGTACATGAAGATGGACACGTCGCAGGAGTCATTCAGTCTGCTCACACTCATTGCCACCGACTGTTACCGGGTAAGTACTGGAACAAACCCCTGTACCCGGCTCTGCAACGTGCCCTAAAGTCGTGTATAAAAGCCGCGGCTTATATGGCTTTTTGGGGAAATTGTGCAGGCTTCTACTGTCGCGGACATGGAAATCCAGTCGATTGACCGGGGCCGGCGCCCTCAGCGCGTACAGAACGCAAGTCGTTGCATGCAGCGCACATGTTGATACGATGCGACCAGCACCAGCGCGTAATATTGCATGCCATGGCTGCATGGCCAGCGCCCTGGGGCCGCTAGACGTGCGACCGGATTTCCATGTCCACGACAGTACTTGAGTGTATGAGACAGGCTTCTATACAAGACAGGTATTTCTATGTATGTCAACACTAAAACCAGGCTTGTGTGCCAACAGTGTATCTTGAAAATCAGGCCTCTATGCACAACAGGCTTCTATATGAAACAGGCTTAATACAAGACTCATGACCAACAAACACCTTTCTTGTGAGCAAAACGTCAAGTAACTTAATTCTCACAGCAAGGTGCAGGCCCCTCTTGAACGGCATACCGTAAAAGTCCGTAAATAAGTACGTATTTACTTTCGAATTTAGTGACCACACCCGTACTAACTTTCGGGTGGGTACTGACTTTCGGGCACAAAGGAGCGCTCCCCGTCCGTTCTCTGCGATGAAGGCTGCCATGACGAAGCTTTCAGTCGTTCACTGCCTGAGCCTCGTGGGTCCCAGGAATACTGTAAGTTGGACGAGTTCCGTGGCAACTGGCGTCTATGGAATGATGCCGTGGGCAGAACATCCAAGCAATAGACGCATGGCGAGGAAAAGATGAGCAGCGCGGAGACAAGAGTTTGATAAGCGAACATAAGAACATTGAAGTAACAAACCAAAAATGACGAGTGGGAAAGCGTTTGTTGATGCGATAGCAGATAAATGTATGTTCTCTTCACCATCTCGTACTCAAACTTTATACTCTCATTGTTGCAGTTTGCCTGATATTCGTGGGCTGATGTACATGTAGACTCTACTATGGAACTACATGATTGTACAATGGTATATATACAGAAGCCTTGCTTGGTAGTTTAACATGTTTTTCGATTTCGGCAGCATGTTACAAGGCGAGGACGCGTAGTGCTCCTGACTACAACCATAACCCGGTTGGCAGAGTCCCGGTCTTGCGACCATTTGAACCGTATTGGGAAAACCAGAAAAAAGAAAGAATTCTACATCCTACCAACCCCTACAGTAACGAGGGTCCGAACCTGGGTTTTCCCAATACGGTTCAGATGGTCGCAAGACCGGGACTCTGCCAACCGGTTTATGGTTGTAGTCAGGAGCACTACGCGTCCTCGCCTTGTAACATGCTGTCAAAATCGAAAAACATGTTAAACTACCAAGCAAGACTTCTGTATATGATTGTACAATGGTGTTTTGTATACGCAGTGTCTTGTATGAATCACACATACAAAATGTATACAGTTTTCAGTAGAAATCATCAAGTTGTTCTTTTTTTCTTCTTGGCTTTTTGCTCTTTTGCATCAGAATTGAGAATACTAGTACACAATGTATCCTTATATTCAATGTACTGGAGATAGACTGGCATTTCCTTGTCTGTCTGTGTCCGTGTCCATGTGTGTGTGTGTCTGTCTGTGTGTCTGTCTGTGTGTCTGCCTGTGCATGTGCGTGTGCATATGTGTGTGTGTGTGTGTGTCTGTCTGTCTGTGCATGTGCGTGCGTGTGTGTGTTCATGCGTGTATACATGCTCAGACCGGCCAGTTCTACTACTCGGCGAAGGCATTTGACGTCCTGGATCGCATTGACGGCACGTCCGAGTACTGGGAGGGCAAGAGAGGTGCATGCATCGGCGTATTCCAGATGATCATTGCTCAGCGAGAGTCAAGGTTAGTGCCGTGAGCATTGAGACAGCAGCTCAGTGATCCAATCCCACCCTTGTTTTCCCCTGCTTGTGAACATGTAATGTACTGCTCAATGAAATCCAGTCACGGTGTCACTCAAGTACGCGCCGGGCGCTGCGCAGCTCTAGACCTGCAAACACTGGGCTGTGAAATGGTGCAAGGCGGCAACTTAAGTGACACGACTGGATTTCATTGAGCAGCACTGTTTATTGCCATTGGATACGGTACAAACGTGTGACGGACAACTAGGCACCGGGCAAATACGCTCGAAAAATCACCCATCATGCTTTCTCGCAATTCTTTCAAACAAGCCGATAATGCCTGAAACCATGCCGATAATTCCCAGACATTCTCACAAATTTTCGCTTGACATCCAGGTCTTCCTTCGCATCCAACACGAAAAGATGCATTCTCAAACATAAAAGAAACAAAAAATTATTCTTTTTCTGTTTTCTGGCAAGTTCAGATAGCTTTGCTGGTTTCAGCTTGTCCAGCAGAGAAACCACCTTCTTGCTTTCCTCATCCCTTTCACTTTCAGCCTCCTCCTCATCCGCACTATCCACTCGACAAATGTCAGTAACCAGCCGATCATGCCCGCGAAATCACCAATTATGCTCGTGTGATTTTTGCACCCTAAAATGCTCGATTTAGTGCCGGCATGTTTGCCGAGTCCCTACGAACAACCCGTGTGGCGCCTCGGCACGTTTGTACGAACGTCGGATATCGCGATTGCAAGTAGTACTGCACTGTGGAAATGACGACTTGGAATTCGGTCGGAACAGCACTGCATGTGGGAGATGCTGTACACTTTGGGTGGGTGGCTGAGTGGTGGTGTTATCCAGGCTGCTGTGATGCAGGGCTGCCGCTTGTCCCGGTTTTCCAGAAATGCTCAGATGTTAACAGGTTGTTCCGACAAACCCAGCGAAAATCTGCTTCATTATCTTACTTCAAATGAAAGTGCCCGAATCTGATATTTCGGACCATTGGAATCTTTAAAAAAATGCTTTGGCTTCTAAATGGATCATATCCGCCATGTGTATTCGCTGCTGCTGTTGCTGCTGCTGTTGTGGCTGCTGCTGCTGTCGCTGCTGCTGTCGCTGCTGCTGTCGCTGCTGCTGTCGCTGTCGCTGTTGCTGCTGCTGCTGCTGTCGCTGTTGCTGCTGCTGTTGCTGTTGCTGCTGCTGTCGCTGCTGCTGCTGCTGTCACTGCTGCTGCTGCTGTCACTGTCGCTGCTGCTGCTGCTGCTGCCGCTGTTGTCGCTGCTGCTGTTGCTGCTTTTGCTGTTGCTGCTGCTGTCGCTGTTGCTGCTGCTGCTGCTGTCGCTGTTGCTGCTGCTGTTGCTGTCGCTGTTGATGTTGCTGCTGCAGGGACACTCTGAAGGAAGTGATTCGCATGCTGCGCCAGACCAACAACCAGCAGGTCGAGTACATTGTGCGCATCATGATCCGCTGGGCCAAGGCCAACGTAGTCCCGCTCGACGACGCCGAATGAGACCGCGTTCGCCGTGACGACGAGGCAAGCACGCCGTCGGCGTTTGCCGACAGCCCCGTTGACCATGTACTGAGCATCACCAACCATAACAATCCCATTGACCATCCACTCATCATGTCCAATCACAACGATCCCATTGATTATCCGCTGAGCATGACCAAACCCTACGATTCCATTGACCATCTGCTGAACACACCCGGTCAAAAGGACCACAACGACCGCAACGTCAAAGCCAGGCGCTGCCATCGCGCACACAGGAATCGTGAGCACCTCTTGAAGAAGAAGAAGATTGCTGACGCTGTGAGGGATCAGCCGTCGGCATTTCTCAGCGAAGCCGAATAGAACAGTAATATACAGTACTTCGCTCTGGTCCTCATTCTTATTGGAATCGACTTTGTTATGTCAAAATCTTGAAGGACGCTTCACGCAGCTTCATTGCACTTGAATAGTTTGCAGGCAACCTGCCTACACTCAAGAGAGCTCTGCATTTCACGCAGTGTGTGTGTGAAATGCAGTGGTGACTCTCTTGAGTGTAAGCAGGTTGCCTGCAAACTATTCAAGAACTTTATTACTACTATTTTTTACAATGGATATCATACTCATAGTTTCTGTGGAAAGGTTTTAGTGAAATCAATGCCTGTAGGTGCTATCGAGGCAGTTTAGTTGACGTAAAACCATACACATGCTGTCTGCTCATACTTCACTTCAGCACGCAGTCCCGTTTGTCAGTAGCCGCTAGGCCGACCATTCTAAATTTCAACCTAGCGGCCGTATATATGTTCCTTTCTTGAACTGTGTGTCATTTATGTAACTAACACTTGGGACGTTCTTGATTCGGGTACCGAACAGTCACATTCTGTAATTCTTAATTCCGGGTGCGCACTTACAATAGATTTCAGCCTGCATTGGTCCATACTGTAAACTGCCTATTATTCGCGACGGATTAATGTTCGCTATTTTCGCGAGAAGAGCGTAACGCGAATATTAACCAGCGTGACATCAAGCTTTCTACAGTGCAGTGGGTGGTATGTAGGTGGCCCCGGTGCGTCGCGCACGTTTGCCATCGCAAACTTGCTGGTTCCAAGAAATCGCGAAAATTTAGTGATGCGAATATTGAGCGGTTCACAGTGGTATCAAGAGTCCATAATCCCCCAGAGTGCGCAACTTCACTGATCAGATCTGGGATGGCGAAATCCGTGTTGCATGTCATTATGGACTTTTTGCCTTCTGGTGAACAAGAACTTGGGACGTTCTTGATTCGGGTACTGAAGAGTCACATTCTGCATTTCTAAACGAGAGAGCTTGGAAGCTCAGGGCCCTACGCTATGCTTTTTTGCTTGCTTATCATGCATGTAACGTGTCAAAGCTGTGATGGCCCTGGCTAGCGTTCTGGAGTCGAAGTTATATCTGTCCTGACGTTTCCTGTGACCGGTAGGCATATGCGGATAATTCCGGCAGCAAAATTGGCAGAATTCGGTACTTTTTCGTGTAAGTTTCATGCATGTTTGGTATGTGGATAAAGAAATGGAGCAGAATTCGAGGAATTGCCCGCCATAACGTTTGTATGGTTCTGGCAATTTCACTGCTTTTCGAGCAGAATCTGCCACCTTTTCGAGCATTATCCGCACACCCCTAGTGACCGGCGCTGACTCTGCCGATCACGGATGTTCTGGAGTCGACGGGATCTCTCTTCCGACGTTTCCTGTGACCGGCGCTGACTCGCCCGTTCAGGATTATTTTGGAGATGACGGGATCTCTCTTACAAAGTATGAATTTGCTGACGCATCCTGTCTTTTATTCGGCAACTAAAGTCCATTCTAATAGCATTTCCTCGTCTCCCTACTTCGTATTTCTTTCCAGAAAATCTCCCTATACAGCAGTTTACATAATACGAATCCCTGCTATACATCTATATACGTTATAATTATAATGCTATCGGCCTACATGCGAATCCCGGGCAGGTCGACAGGCGGCCCAGCCAGCCTGCCAGTGGGATCTCGGCCTCGCACACAAATCCACACAAGATGCTACTGCACTATCGGCCTGAATGCATTCCCCCATACACTTCGTATATTATACTCATTCTCTTGATGGTACCGTACTCTTGATGGTACGGGACAGGTATGGGATAGCGCCGGGCATGCTGATGGCACAAAAAAACAAATAATATTGTGGCCAGCTGTCTGTGCTGGTACGGTACGGTACAGGACAGATACGGGATAGCGCCAAGTGTGACACAAACAAACAAACAAACAAACAAACAAACAAACAAACACCAAACGAGAGAGCTTGGAAGCTCAGGGCCCTGCGCTATGCTTTGTTGCCTAGCTTATCGTAACTGATGGAAATGCTTTTTCCTTTGATTAGCTACATCATTAGACAGCAAAAGTACGATAACGCTAACTTTTACGGTACTCACTCCCAGCCGTGACAAAAGACGTTATCGGATAACGGAAAAACGTTACAGAGCTCAAAATAACGGGCCGACGTTCGTTATGGAAATTCTGCAAAAAATGCAAAAACTCGCATTGTTTTGTAACTGGCGGGAGATAAAAAGCACGTCGTGCAGATCGAGATGAGATCGAGAGTCGAGATTGCTTCCTCTTGTGACATTTAGCTTTTTGGCGAGTTTTGCCTTTCAGTTGACAATTTCTGCGTCCTCTGCTTCGTGCCTTTCTCCCTCTATCCCATCTGGGAAACAAAGGACCAGTTCCACGGCACTCCTGAGGAAGAAATTCATCGGCCTCTCCCAGACGTGCTGGAGCTGGAGAACCCTTACAGTCTTCGGTGCTGCGTTTAGGAAAGGGTTTCCAAGGACCTGGGAACAGCGAAAACTCATGTTCGCCGTGCTTTTGCTATTCCAGAGTAAAGGACCTCGCCAAGGTATTCTTTCGGAACGACAGCAAACTAATCCCTGGTTCAAAATTTTGAATTTCCCGCATCTGTTTCCACGAAAATTCATATCGCACTGGTTGTCACGACTACTTCGTCTCAACTATAACGTACTTTGTGCTAAGGGAAAAGTCAGCTTGAACGATCCGAAGTACGGAAAGGTTTGCGTTTACGTTAGCGTTTTTTTAGCTAAGGATATCTATTGTATTGCAAAAACGTTTCAATGAGATACTGAAGTAACGTCTTCTGCATAGTTACGGGACCGGCGCTGACTCTGCCGATCACGGGCGTTCTAGAGTCGACGGGATGTCTGTCCTGACGTTTCCTGGGACTGGCGCTGACTCTGCCGATCACGGACGTTCTTCTTCTTCTTATTATTATTATAATAGAGGTTATGCGAAAGGATCACGTGCAGGCGGCGTGTAGGCGGCCAAAGCGGCCGCGCTCCGCAGGGGTGGCAAAAGAGATGAAAAGTTCAAAAGAAGTACATGTGCCTGGAATAATTTCACGAAGGAAATTTCCTGTATCGCTGTTACGTTCCTCTTCTGTTCTTTACAAAGGACTATTGTACGAACGCTGAATCAGTGGCCATGACTTCTCCCAAGTTTTCAAAAGTGTATGACGAGTTAGATGACTCCAGCAAATGCCGGTACCGTGAAAAGCTCGAGCGCGTTGCACCAGACTCGAGTGATCCTTACCTGCCCAGAAGTATTTTTTTAGGGGAAGATAAATTTCCACTTGTGGACTATCCCGATATTTACAATTTCTTGGTCAACGCGCCCAGCCCCTACACCAAGGAGCAGCTCAAGGCCTACAAGAGCTTGGAAGGCTACAAATACCTTGTCAGTGGCTGGGTCGGCGATGTTCGTGCGTTTCCAGCGTCTGAATCTGACACATGTGACAGCAAGTTTGTCATCGCCAAAGTCCGCCATTCCCAGTCAGTTTCCGGCACCCATCTGCAACCCTGGATTGCTGCGCAAAACGACGGTAGCGTGATTTGTGCACACTGCACCTGCATGGCTGGTCTTGGTGAGTCTTGTTCTCACGTTGCTGCACTGTTGTTCAGCCTGTATTCTAGAACGCAGCTGATTCAGAACACAGGAAGCACTTCATTGCCGTGCCAATGGTCAACTCCTTCAATGAAGGAGGTGGAGTATGCCAGGATTCGTGACATAAACTTCACTGCACCCGACACTAAACAGCATGGGAGCAAGCGCCGTAGGTCGGAGGAGAAGGTCCCTGCTGATATTAAGCAACCCTCCAGTGCTGAGCTGGGTGAACTATATGGAAATTTATGTCAAGCCGGTAAACCGTCATTACTCTCCCTTGTTCCCGGGTTCTGCGATAGGTACGTACCTTCCAAGCCCGAGGGATATCCACCCATTTTGGATTTATTGTACGAACCAGACATGCTGGATGCTAGTTTTGGGGACCTGCTCGTTCGTTGCGAGGCAGTATTTCCAGCGGTCTGTGTTTCAGAGGAGGAAGCACGCGCTGTGGAACAGGCTACGCGGAACCAGGCAGATTCCAAGGCCTGGTTTGAATTTCGCGCCGGCCGGATCACAGCTTCAAAGTTGAAGTCTGCTGTTCGCACGGATATTAGCCAGCCCTCTGCGTCCTTAGTCCGCTCTGTGTGTTACCCTGAGGCACACAAGTTTCGTAGCAAAGCCACACAATGGGGATGTGATCACGAGCAGAAGGCAATTGACAACTATAGTGAACATGCCAGTGCAACACATCAGAAGGTTGAAGTACTGCCCAGTGGCTTTGTAATTCATCCGGACTATCCATATCTTGGCGCTACTCCCGACTCCCTTGTGCAGTGCTCCTGCTGTGGCAACGGCGTGGTGGAAGTGAAGTGCCCGTACGGGTGCCGAGACAGTAGCCTGCATGATGCTGCCGATTCAGGGAAGTTCTGTCTAGTAAAGTCCGGCGGAGCACTCCATCTTAAGCAAGACCACATGTACTACTACCAAGTACAGCTACAGATGCTGGTGTGTAAGGTGCAGTACTGTGACTTTGTTGTGTGGAATGAAGGTCAGCTGTTTGTGGAGCGTATCTGTGCAGACACAGATTTCATCCGTGAAGCGGTAGCAGGTGCCAAGAAATTCTTCCAGTGTGCTGTTCTCCCAGAGCTTGTTGGGAAATGGTTCACTAAGACGTTCTCCACTCTTCCTGCCGATGCGTCTTCAGCGGCTACATCAGCCTCGGAACCACTTGGTGCTGCCAGTACAACATCTACTGCGGATCAAGAACGCCCTCCGGAGTTTTGCTACTGCAAGTCTGTGAAGGCTGGCGAGGTACTGCGATGTTCCAACAACGATTGCAGTATTCGTTTGTTCCACATGGCTTGTTTGCAGCTGAAGAGTAAGCCAAAGCGCAAGAACTGGACCTGCCCGGAGTGTCGCAAGATTAAATCTGCCACTAAATAATGATATGCATGTACAATTACAGTGGTAGCGACTTCGGCGACAAGTTTATAGGAATGTTGGTCGCTAAGCACAATGTTCGTCAGCCTACTCAAGCTCAACTGCATGAGGGGTGAATTCCCCGAAACACTGTGTATTGAGCAGGGAGTGGTGCTTTCTTGCAGGTTTGCCGGAAGGAGGGCTCGAGGGACTTCTTCTCTGCTCTAGATGGCAGTTGTGAGTCAGTCAAGTGTCTGGATGGAAGTCGTGAGTTTGTCAAGTTTCTAAATGGCAGTCGTGAGTCAGTCAAATGTCCAGTCAAGGCGGCAGGAAAGCTCGACCTCTAGTATGGGGTGCAACCAACTTTCCATGTACATAGTCATTTTTGTCGTAGCATTTGTAAATCCAAGTCTCAAGCATTTGAGAAGTGATTATATTCATGGAGCCTGCTATTCTGGTATTTCTAGAGTTGCATTTTCAACTTGTTCTGCTGTGCCTTCCACGGTACTTGCTGTTGCACTTGCCACGTGTGTGCATACAATCGGTGGCTGGGCTTTCACAACGATTTCCGTTACCTTTCTTGTATTTCTTTGCTTGCATGTATCTCTGAAGGACCATAATGCTGATTCGTATTTGTGGGTCCCAGGACATGCGTGAAGACCACTCACTGCTTATGCATGTGAGCAGAGGAACTCCATCATTA